GCACCCATGTTTGAAGGCATGGGGCATGCTGGTAAAACCCTATGTGTAACCATCCTTTCTCTGGGATGCTTTGAGGTGTTCTGGTCCCTCACAGTGATCTCTGATTAGCTTGAAGAAGAAGAATCCCCCAGATCTCAGTTAATTGAAACACACTTCAAATAACTTCATTCAAAACCGAGTATAAGCAAGACAGGAAGCAAAAAGAGTTTGGCAGGAGAAATGTCGAGTCGCTGGTAGGTACCCAGTCTCCTCCAGATGTACAACATGTATGGGCACACAGCAGGAACCCTCTGGTGCCATGAAAATTGGAGCAGCCATAGCAGATGGGTAAACACAACTAATACAGTGTAGTCCATTTGTCAGTTCGGTGGTGATCGTGGAAAATTTGGTGATATAACAAAACTCTGCTGATTGATAGCAGCCCGTTGGACTCAGACATTGCCCTTTGAGGACAGCCTGATTAATCTGATTTTGGGCTTCAAAACAATTCCTTTACCCCAGGATGACTTCATCCTCTGATCCTTTGTCCCATCTATATGACTTACACCCTCCTGTAATTTTAAATACCTTCTCCGTTTTTCTGGCTCATGTTTCATGCAGTAGGCACACAGAAAACACATGCTCGCTCCCGACACAGTCTGTGATTTACAGAACTGTGCCATACTGCTCAGTGTTTTCTTTTGAAGGTCTTCTGGAGCCTTGCACCACTGATGTGAAACACCGCGTTTTCTGTTAACGCTGCACCAGCATCGGATCTGAGATAAAGAGCACGCTAATCAATGATAAGTACCCATTTATATCGGTGCTTCTCAAGAGCTTTCAGAAAGAACTTTGCACGTGGGGTGCCTGAGGCATGAATGGGCAAAATGATTTGCTTATAAACTGCTGCTAATAGCGTATGTAACTAAATAGTTTCGTTTTGCATTCTTGTGACTGCGAGCGTTGACTCCGCTGATTGCTTCCTCCGAGTCTTCTCTGGTGATTTCCTCCTGAAGGAGCCTCGTGTGATCCCAAGCCTATGGGTGGGAGCAGCCCCTGGTCATTGCACCCAACTGGATGGAGCCACCCCGTTACAAGCGGGCCCTTTGCAACTGCTTCTGCTCACTGGGATGAAAGCAAATCCAAGAGATTTGCACTGAGATCAATAGATTTGGAACACGACGAACGAAACGAGACACGTGTGGACATTGCAACGTGGGTGTGCAAGGTTCCACACTGATGTGCTTATCTCAGGTTGTCCCAGCACACGCTGGGAGCGCTGCCAGCAGTCCATCAAAGCACTGATGTGATGCAGGATTTAACTCAGCTGCCCTCATTCCACCTCCTCTGTGGCCCATGGGGAAGTCGAGGCTCCAGAACTGCCAATTCAGCATGAAATCCCCATTAAAACACACACACACTTCACAGATCCCAGAGCCATGGGGTGTTAGCCCTATAATTGGGCAGGTTAGGCTCACCTTAGGGTTTAACGGCAATTTAAATCTCTCTGCTGCTCTGATGCAGAAATATTAACGCTTTGATCAAGGCCTTTCAGTCTTTCAGTTATAGAGACAGTTTTCTCATAATGAACCGGGGGACCCGAGTGTTTAAGACATCAAAACTAGGCAAAATTTCTATTTTTTTTTATAATTATTTTTATTTTTTTCATTTTAAAGCCTCGGATCTGTGGTTCCAAGCTGCCCTTTTCCTATTTCTTCCCAGTTCTTGCTATGAATTAGGGATGCTTTATTTGTCAGGCTAATCATAATGAATGCACTGATTAAAAATGAGACATCATGCACCTAGAGCAAAGAAGAAACACAAACCTTCTTCTAGAGGAGACTGTTTCCTTGGAGGTTTCCCTCTGTTACAGAAATATTTATTTGCAATCAGAGGAACGTTTCTTTCTAGCAAAAGAACAAAGAAGCATTTTCTCTGCAGCCTAATGGGCAGAGACATATGTTTTTAATAAACACACGAGAGAATGGGTTTTTTTTCTGCACTCAGGAATTAGCATTCAGGAGTCCCACAATGTTTACAAATCTCTGCGCTTTTTTCTTTCTTTTTGTTTAATTAAGGCAATTTTCAGTCTGTGTCCTCCGAAGTCCTGGTGGTTTCACTGAGTGTCTCCATGATCGTTCAGGCTGTGCTCAAATGTTTGCAGCATCTGAGTTTTAATTAGGACGGGGTTCCCCTGCTCGGCTGAATTTCATTATTTCACTCCAGTGAAATGATGTCCTGAATTCTGCTGCCTTCCCCATTACATCCCTGAGCTCCTGCTGTCTCCCATGGTGCAGGCGCTTCTCCACCAGTCATTCTAAGAGTCTGATCCTATGTCGTAGCATCACAGAATCATGAAGGTTTGCAAAAGACCCCTAAGATCCCCAACCCATCCCACCGTGCCCCCTGACCACATCCCTCAGTGCCACTTTTCTCAAACACCTCCAGAAATGGTGACTCCACCACTCGCTGCGCAGCCTTTTCCAGCGCCCAATTACTCTGATGGAGAAGTTTTCCCTAACATCCAACCTGACCCTCCTTTCAGGGAGCTGTAGAGAGCTCAATGGTTCTGTAAAGAGCTCTGTATTGCTTCGAAAGCTGGATCAGCATCATAAGGTACATAAGGATAATATTTGCTTTGCAAATGCAAACTAAAAGGCTGGCTGTTGCCATAAAGCCTGAAGCCCACCTCCTAGCAGCCCCCTTCTGGCTGCATCTTGTACCCTCCAGTGAACCGAGGTCCTGTAAGACCACGAACACGAGAAAGCACCAGGATCCATGGATGCCTGCAGTATCCTTCCATCCCCATTCCTTTTTATTCTGAGCACAGCATCGTTATTAGCAATGAAGTTTTTATATGTTACAGTCATCCCAGCCAGGTCATGATGTGCCATAAATCTTTGACAAGTCAAGCGCTGCCTCTTTCTGGGTACAGTATATGCTTGGCCCCATTAAGAATAATAGCATGAATAACCATAAGCCATTAATTTTGACGAGATCAGACCCATATCACCTTAAAAAGAGTGCGCTGATACCATGGGAGACATTTGGCAGTTTCCGCCGCTCACTCCCTTAATGAATAAAAATACAGCAGTGGCTGCAGAGAGCCTGACAGGCTGCACCCAGAGCCCAGGGACAACTCGTCCCACCAGCACCACAGGGGAAGGGGTGGAGAAATTACAACCTGTGCTTGGAGAAATTGCGGCCGTGCAAAGAAGAGGCGCTGCTGTGTGCGTCCGTACGGCCAGCCCAGGAGTGCAGGGGGACTCTTCTGCAAGGGGAGCGTTTTGGTTTCCTGAAAAAAGGGGCAAAATCAGTGCTTCCTCCGTTAGATGGGCCAGAGAGGAATGCAGGAGGAGTTGGGCAAACTCTGCAGGGAGGCAGACAGGATCCTGCTGTCTAACACTGAGATCTTAGGGGACTCGGGCTTCCCTTGGCAATGAGATTCCTTCTGTTGTTTTTTCTGTGGGGGAAAAAAAAAAAAAAAAAAAAGAAAGAAAGAAAAGAAAAAAAGGGCTAGGGCAGTGAGTTTCAAGTGCTTTATGTGAAGGAAAAGAGAAAAGACGGTAAGAGGAAGATGAAAGGAAAGAGAGGAAAGAAGGAAAAGCAAAAGGGAAAGGGAAAGGGAAAGGGAAAGGGAAAGGGAAAGGGAAAGGGAAAGGGAAAGGGAATAGGGAATAGGGAAAGAGGGAGGGAGAGGGGGAGGGGGAGGGGAGGGGAGGTCCTCCTAATGGGGAGGAAATGGGGAGGGGTGTGAGGGGGGACAGGGGAGGGGGGAGGGGAAAAGGGGAAAGAAAAGGGAAAAGAAGGAGAAAGGGAAAAAGAAAAGAGGTAGAATGGAAAAGAAGAGAAAGAAAAAAAGAAAAGGAATAAGATGGGAAAGTGGGAAAAGAAGAGAAATGGGACATGAAGGGGAAAAGGGAAGGGAAAAAGAGAAGAGAAAAAGGAAAGAGGATAAAATGGGGAAAGGGAAAAGAAGGGGAAGGGAGGGGGAAGCTGCTGGTCAAGTCCCTGTGAAGATGGTGTTCTCTGTGGGACTGCAGTTATTGTGGCTGCTGCTGTTGTTTAGAGCAAGGTGCTGTTTTATTTAAAAGAGGCATCTCTCCTTATTATTTGAAGTACCTCTGTGCAAGGCTGGATGCAGCGAGCTCCTCATCAAAGCAAACACCTCTGCACCACACCAGGGGAAGCAGTGTGCAATTAGGGGCTCTTCTCATCTCATCTCGCCTCGTTTCCAATGTTCCTCTGGGATCTGCAATGGAAATGAGGAGGGCAGGAAGAGCAAAAATGTGTATGCTGGCAATGGAGCCTTGTTGCTTGGTTGAGGGGGTGATGGACGTTATTGCAGTGCTCCTTTGGATGCCTTGTCGTTGAGTGGGTGAATTTGGGGAAGTGAGAGTGTGTGACCCCGTTCCTCACGCTTTTTGGGGGTCATTTTTTCTGTCTTTGTGCAAAAATCTGCATTGCCTAAGCCTGAGGTTCTTCTTTCTGTGCAAGATAGAGACGTAAACGTCCAAATATTTGAGTGTGACTCATTCCTTGTGTGCTTTCCCGAGCACAGTTCCTTGTGTTTAAGGAGCCAGGATTGAGGCAAAGGAGAGGATGGAAAGGTTCTAACCTGTGATATCACTCCATCACAGTCTGTGGTTTCTGAGCTCTGCTCTTTGTTTGGCTTTGCTCTTCTCCCACAGGAATTCAGCCACAAGAATGGCTTCGAGTGCAGTCCTTGCACTTGCTTTGTCTCCATGGCCTTCTGCTCAGTTCTCATGTTGTGCCAAACACTGGCTGGGTTTCCAGGTAGTTTTCTATTCAAGTATTTGGCAGATAAAAGGCAGCCAGGCTCTGAGATCAGACAGAAGTCGGCGCGTTCCCTCCACTGTGGCTGGCGTCCAAGCATTTCAATATGTAATTTCCACTAATTTGCAGAACTGTACCGTTAATTACATGAAAGATTTACTTAGAGCTACCCCTTCTGTAATGTCCTTAATGCCTGCATTAACTGCGTTGCTGCTAGCTTGTAATTCTCCATCATTCAGTCAGGTTAGGATGATGCAGCTGACGCTTTCTGCTTACCCAAAACACATCCTTGCCATGCCATCTTATTTTTTTTTCTTGACTCAGCTTTGTCAGAGCATCTTTATAGGACACAAATTCCAATATTCCACCCTTGTGTGAGACAGATGCCCTCATCTCTCCACAGCCCTGCACTGATGGTTGCAGAGATGCTATGGTGTGAAGCTCAGATATCCAACACCAAGGTTGGACATTTTTCTTGCCTGCTCTGCCAGATGTGCTTTCTTGGGGCCCAGGAGTCAGGACTGACAACTTATGGAAAGTGTAAATCTCCCTCTAGTGTTCTATACACAGCTTCCTCACCATGGGAATCAACCAAGGGTTGACACTGGGCATCTTCCTCACCATGGGAGTCAACCATGGATTGACTCTGACCATCACCCTCACTGTGGAAGTCAACCAAGAATTGGCATTAGACATCATCCTCATTGTGGGAATTAACCATGGATTGACAGTGACCATCACCCTCACTGTGGAAGTCAACCAAGAATTGGCATTAGCCATCATCCTCATTGTGGGAATTAACCATGGATTGACACTGGCCATCCTCTTCACTGTGGAAGTCAACCAAGAATTTACACTGGCCATCATCCTCACTGTGGGAGTCAATCGAGGCTTGACAATGTCCATCTTCCCCACTATGGGAATCAACCAAGGGTTGACACTGGGCATCCTCCTCACCATTGGAATCAACCAAGGATTAAAATTGGCCATCATCCCCATTGTGGGGGTCAACCAAGGACTGACACTGACCATCCTCTTCACCATGGGAATCAACCAAGGACTGACATTGGCCATCCCACAGGAAGAGTCTTTGATGAAATCTCATCACTCAGCAGCCCTTGGTATGAGTGTGGGCTGAAGAGGAGCTGTCAGAGCCCAGGAGGGGACCAGAGCTGCCAAGAAGCAAGCAATTGCATGGATGAGGTGTTGGGCAAAACCATGGGATCCCATGGTCTGCAGTGGAGTCCATTGGAGCAGTCTGGGCTCTGGCACAAGGAGCTATTCCCATTCTTTGCTGCACTGCAAAGATAGAGCTGGCATGGTTTATCTCAGTGCAGAAACAGCTGGCAGATAGACATGGACCCAACTGTTTAGATTGGAATGCCTTGCTGTCAGGTCGTGTTACTGGTTCAAACAGAAAGGCGCTGCGCAGCCAAAGCCAGGCATATACAACTGACAGAAAAGAAAAGAAGGTGAAAGCTGCTCTGGGCTCATCAATAACCTCCTGCACATCCTTGCCTGTGCTCCGAGTTGAGAAAACACAGAAATGATCAGCACTCGGGTCAGGATTTCGTGAGCTGTCCAAGGAGAATTTACTCTAGCTCCTTCCTGACAGGAGACAGAGGTATAAAAAACAATGCAGTGACTTCTGTTCAAGCAATAGCTGTGTAAAATATTGTTCATCAGAGCTGTAAAGGTTAGCTCAGCAGAGAAATAAGGTCTGCAGCTTTTGGCTTTGTATCCCTTTGGGCAATCCATTTGCGAGTTTGTTGAAGGCAAGGAGAAAGATCCAGTGATTGGAAAGGGGCTGCACTCACCCCAGCTCAGTCCCTGAATTCAGCATCTTCCTTTTCTCCATTGGCTTTGAAGTGCTTCCAGCCAATACAGATTTGTAAAATGATTGAAAGGCATCCACTGCATCATCGTAATATTTCTCAGGCACTAAAAATGCCTCCCATAGCATCTCCCTGATGGCACTTCTACCCCTCTATCCCTGTGCTTCACCCAAAAGCCACCCACCAGCCTCAGTGCTGAGCACGAGATGAGCAGGCTGAAGGATGGAGTGGGTCTAAACCCACTACCCCAAATCTGACGGTCCCACTTCACTTCTGGCTGTTAACAGGGCGAGCCTGGAATCATTTTCTCTAGAACAGCTCCTCCACAGGGTAAGTTTCCTAATGTTATTTCTCAGTCATTCCTATAGAAGTAATGGAATCCTTGTATGGCTTGGGTTGGAAAGGACCTGAAAGATCATTCAGTTCCATGCCTGCTGTGATCTGGGTGCCCTCCATCAGATCACGATGCCCAGAATCCCACCCATGGCCTTGGGCACCTCCAGGGATGTGGCACCCACGGTTCCTCTGGGCAGCAGTCCCTTAGCAGCCTGTAGAAGAAAGAAATCTCACCTAGGAGCAGACTCCTGTGCTGCGTACATCCTGTCTTTTATTTATAGGATGGCTCCAAGCTCCAGGATCTTGATGATCTTTCAGGTCCCTCCCAACTCAATCCGTTCTATGAGTCTGTGATTCCATGCTATGATTTGTAGGGTCACCCCACGTTCCCAATGATCTCCCATCTCTTCATTGCCCAAAGTTGGTGCCCAAAATCCAAGGGAGAGCTGGGAAGAGAGGCCAGCAAAAAAAAAAAGAAAAAAAAAAAAAAAGACATAACAACCAAGATTTTTATTTAGTTTGGAGCTTGTTAGGTGCCATTTGCATGGCTACAATGTCAGATGCATTATTCATGAGCATAAACTGCAGTGACCCCCGCCTCCCCCTCTTTGCAAACACTGGCTTCAGATTCCCAAGATTAGACATCCTTCTTGCTGCTTTAAGCAATTTCTCTTTAAAAGGAACACGGCAGAGTGACAGCCTGATTTTTTATTCATGTGTGGGTCTTTTCAAGGCATAGCATTTACCACAGTACATAAAAACCAGGCTCACAGGTCAGGGTGTGTGGGGGGGGGGGGGTTGGGAGGAAATGACTCAAGCAAATTGGTTTGAAGAGGAGTTTTCAGCTTTTACCCCTGATTCAAGGCAGGGCATCTGCCAACAGGTGACACCTGCCATGCCCGGGTGCCATGAGATCCTCAGGAGATGCAGGAGAGACTCTTTTTCAACTTGCCCTTGAATCTTTGGATGGGTCCAACAGCAAGTGTGGGGTCAGAGAAGACTTTTGGGTGGGCCAAGAGTTGGATTCAGTGGTCCTTATGGGAGGGAAAGGGGAAAGGGGAAAGGGGAAAGGGGAAAGGGGAAAGAAAGGGAAAGGGGAAAGGGGAAGGGGGAAGGGGGAAGGGGGAAGGGGGAAAGGGGAAGGGAAGGGAAGGGAAGGGAAGGGAAGGGAAGGGAAGGGAAGGGAAGGGAAGGGAAGGGAAGGGAAGACAGTATTAAGCAACATGTTGTATATGAGACATGGGAGGTTATTACCTGCTTGGTGCTCAGGGAGCTGGAGAAGACAGCAGCACTGCAGGGGGTGACACAATTGGCTGAGCCTTCCCCAGTGCTGGAATAAAGGCAAAATGACCTTGGGGTCATCCAGAAATAGCAGGGGTGAGCATCAGCTCCCTGTCAGCACCTGCAGCAGGGAAATAGGAGATACTTGGGAAGGAGCTTGCATTGTTTTGGGTCAGTGTGAGAGTTTCCATTGCACAGAGGGGTGGTGGGAGCTGGTCTGGGAGCACTGCCAGCCCTGCAGGAGACACTAAGAAAAGTAATCAACCATCTCCAAAACGCTGGAGATTGCAGTTAGCCTAAGGAAGGACCTGAGAGGCAGCAGGCAGAGGTGAGATGAGGCAGGTTGGTAACTGCTGGATGTTGTGACCTTTTCTGGCTGTTCTGCAGCTGGAATGCGCCAGCCCCACTGCTCCCCGTGCTGTCACCTCTCTGTGTCACTCATAGAGGATGCTGGGGATGAAGGGCAGTGGCAGAGGTGTGACACTGTCCTTGTCCTCCCTTGTGCCCAGGTCTCACTCACAGCATCTCCCCTCACTGGAAGATCAGCATCAACCAATTCAAGCTACCCAGAAGCAGAGGCCGAGGGGTGAGTGGTTCCCATAGAACTGGCTCAGCCATGCTTGATATTCAGACTCTACACAACAAATTGGAGAGAAAATGCAGCTTTTTTAGCACGTCCAGCCTGACGGCCTCCCTCGTTATCAACCCGAACGCAGAACTCTCTCCTGTTCCCATTTTAATTGGAGGTCACTTGGTACAGACACAACCCCATCAGAAATGTAGCTCCAGCATCACCTCCTCCCTTACTCAAGGTGACCAAGGGGCCGTTCAGGGGATCTCAGCCCATTTCCAGGCTCTCTGCTGACCCATTGCTTCCTCCCACCTCTCACGGTGTGTACGTGCCATCTGGTGGCAAACTGCAGGAAAGAAAATGTGCTCAAAACACCTTTTGCTACGACGGGCTCAATGAAAGCAGAGCCGTTTGGCCATCTGCACCAAGCCTGCACAGCCTACATCTCATCTCCCATTGTAAGAGTTAGTTCCTTACGTGCATAGCTGGAGGAAAACACATCACCATGAGGATGTTTTCTGCTGGAAGCAGCAATTTCCCTCTGTTGAGCGTTCTGATTTCTTGTTGTAAGAGCAGAAAGCTCAGAAGCTGCAAGGCCCAGCGTTCAAAACTGCCTTTGCCTCTCATTTGTGATTGTATCCATCTTGTATTTTCCCATTCTTTCCTCATTTCCCCCCCTTCTCCACTCCTCATTTCCTCGGCGCAGTGCAGCAATAGTTCCGTTCACAATGATGTATGTAGATTTATACACGTTGGGGTTTTTTTTAGTGCAATAAGTTGGTTGGCAGCACCCAAGGCTTTCTGAAAATACAAGCAAGAGAAAACAGAGCGAAATGCAAGAGATGATTTCTATTTGGTATTGAGCTGGGAGAAAGCACATGCTGAGACCCCCAGATAAAGGAACAGTGCAAGGCCACGCATCACTTACACCTTATTTATAGGTATTAAACAAGGCTTCAGTAGAACACAGCTCCGGTTCTGACCCTCTGCAGATGGGTGAATTGCGCCCTAAAGCAAATATAGGGGACTTGTATTATTCAACAGCCTCTGCTAATAGGGTTACTGCAGGCAGAGATGTTGCCTGTCTCGGCTGAAGAGCAGACACTGGCCTCAGTGACTCCTGTTTGCATAATTATACTGCAAATTCTGTCCTGCTGTGTCTGTATAATTACATTTTTAAATAAGAAAAAAGTATTCATACATGTAGAGCTTTGGGTTGGTTTTTTTGGTTTTTTTTGGGGGGGGGGGTTTGTTTTTTTCCTTTCATGGCCAGATTTTCAAGTATTTGGAATTAGGTGTGATTGCAAAACAATAGCAAAAATAAATAAATAAATAACAGGTTGTGACTGTTATGCATTTTGTTGGCTAGCAGAAGGAAACCTGCTGTGCTGAAGGCATTTAGATGGGATGCAGCACTCTCCTTCCCTACCAGGGGAAGCCAGCTTTGTCATCCACATTGTCCATTGGGAAGGAGAAAGATGGAATCTCTGGATCAGCTGGTTGGAAGGTGAGAAGCTTGCAGTAACGGAGGTTGAGAAGAGGTCTTGGGAAGATCTTCAGAGCCCAGAGCTGCTTGGTTTCCTGCTTTTATTGATGACTGGCACCAAAACAGTAATGAAGATTCCAACAAATAATATCTGATAAAAATGAAACTCAGGAGAAACTACGAGCTCAAAGGAGACGATACTCAAGATCCAACCCAAACCATCCTCTTCCCTACTCTTCCACTCTACTCTACTGTACTCTACTCCACTCTGCTCTGTTCTACTCTACTCTAATCTCCATTCTACTCTACTCTACTCCATTCTATCCCACATTACTCTACTCAGTTCTCCCCTATTCCATTCTATTCTACTCTACTCCATTCTACTCTACTCCACTCAACTCTATTCTACTCTACTCAACCCCACTCTACTCTGTTCTACTCTCCTCTACTCTTCCCCATTCTACTCTAATCTACTCCATTCCATCCTACATTACTCAATTTTACCCTACTCTACTCCATTCTATTCTACTCCACCCCATTCTACTCTGCTCTTCTGTACTCTGCACTGCTCCATTCTGTTCTACTTCACTGTACACCATTCCACTCTACTCCATTCTATTCTAATCTACTCCATTCTACTCTACTCTACTCCATTCTATTCTACTCTACTCCATTCTACTCTACTTTACACCATCCTACTCTACTCCATTCTTCTCCACTCTGCTCCATTCTATTCTACTCTACTCCATTCTACTTTACTCCATTCCATTCTACTTTACTCCACTCCTCTCCACTTTACCATACTCTGCTGTACTCTATTCCACTCTACTCTACTCCATTCCATCCCATGAATGGCATTACAAACCTGAAAGTGACAAAAAGGGGCATAAATTTGATAGCTCTATATAAGGTTGGGTTTGCCAGACAGGTGGTCAGGAAACGACTGGCAAAGAAAAAGTTTCCAAATGGATCACAGGATAAAGCAAAAATTACACAGCCATGGGGCCACAGCAAAATCAGCAAAATGAAGGGGGTCAGACTGGAGATGAACCTGAATTATTTTGCTTTATTGCAGCAGAACATCTCACTTCTTGTTTCCCTCCCAGTGTGAGCAGTGCCTCTCCTCTGCATCCCAACGACACCCACCTCCTATTTCCAGGCGAGGAAAACCAAACCATCCCACCCTGTGCTCCTGCTGCCTGCTTTCCTTTAAGGACTGGAGCAACTGGCAGGGAAAAACTGCATCCTGCCTTAATGTCAGCGTCTGCAACGGCAAAAGCAGTTCTCTGCAGCCCTCTAGTGCTCGTTGCATGCAAACAAAAGCAGAGCTTGCAACGGCCGTGGGGAAATGGGGCCAGGGCAGCTCAGGCTCGCTGTAATTTAGAATAGAGGCTTTTATTTGCTAGCAACACACGTTACCAGCTGTTATTTACCCAAAGAGTCGTATTGTGCAGGCAGGCTCTGCTCCCCAGGCTGCATTCCCACCAGAAGCAGTGCTGGTGCACAGCAGAACGTGCCAGCCAAGCAAAGGGCACGCAGGTTTTGCAGCACCAACATCTGCTACACGAATGATGTGACAGCTTCGTCCCATGGAGCATCACCAGGAAGCTCCATCTGAACACCCCCTTCCCATCAGTTTTCCTTCTCTCCCTGCCCCTGCGCACGCCTTCAGCCTCCCTTTCTGCAGTGCTACCAAACTGAGGGCCAGAATTATGCAGGAAGGCCCCTTTGGAGGAGCAGAGGAGGGGAAGGTTGTGATTTATTGTTCCCTTTCCTGGCAGCTTTTGCCTATTCGTATTCAGCTCGTGCTGTGTTACCTCAGTGATAAAAATGCACGTGGAGTTGGGAAACTTTCTGCATATTTCTCTTGGGTCAGAAATGCTCTATGATTTGTTAAAAAAGAAAACCAACCCTTCTGCCAAATAACAGATACCCAAAATTACAAGTTAATTAAAGGGAGTACACTCTGCTTTCCATGCTCCCAATAAAATCCTGTACAGCTCTTCTTACAAATGGATTTCTCCCACAAATCTCCACTTCAACCAAAGCTGTTGTCCGTCTGCACATGAAATCTTGCTTTATCACCTCTCCAGGCTGAAGCTGTCCTTACAGAGGCGCCCTGAACAACCTTGTCATTTCCATTTCTCACGCATTTTTCCGTGCTCTGTGTTCTCAGGGTCTGGGAGGTTTCATTTTCCCATTGCCAGAGGCTGCTCATCCCTATCAGGGCTCATTCTGCCACATCAAAGGCAGCAGGGATACATCAGAGGGAGTGGGGACACGTCAGAGTTAGCAGGAGGGCTGCAGTCCCCTATGGTGGGGGGGACCACAGGGATGCTGCATGCTCTGAAGCATCCTGCAACTTCTGGAAGCAGGTCTGGATCAGCAAAGCTCTGTTGATTGCTGTGATAATCACCAGAGCCCAAACAGCTGAGGTGGTTTGTGATCCTAATCCCGTCCTTGGACGTGTTCAAGGCCCGGTTGGACGGGGTCCTGGGCAACCTGATCTAAATGTGTATGTTTGGTGGCCCTGCTAGGCAGGGGGGTTGGAACTACATGATCCTTGGGGTCCCTTCCAACCTGGGTGATTCTGTGATTCTGTGATTGTGTGATTCTAATTTGCATCTGAGCATCACTGTGGAGTGAAGCTCTTGACAAGGTGCCATCACAGAATGGTTTGGGTCAGAAGTGACCCAGTGCAGCCCATCTCCTCTGCACTGAACTGGGACACCCACAGCTCAACCCAGTGCTCAGAGGCTGCTCCAGCCCGGCCTGTAGGACAATGCTTTCCACCCTATAATGTTAGATATCTTCTTTTCCTGACCTATAGCATGATGCTTTCCAAAGTCACCCTTCTTCCAGACAGCAGCAGCAGACAGCTACATGGTGACAGCCTTCACAGCCTTTGCACCGTCGCATCTTTGCCCTGGGAGGTGGTGGAGTCACCATCCCTGGAAGTGGTCAAGAAACATTCAGATGTTGGTGAGCCTTGAGGTCCTTTCCAACTCAAGCCATTCTGTGTTGCACTGAGGGATGTGGCTTAGTGGGAAGTTCTGGTGGTAGGATTAGTTCTGGTTGGACTAAGTGATCTCAGAGGTCCTTTCCAACCTCAATGTTCCTGTGGTTCTATCACTGTCATTACCTTACAGAAAATGGACTCAAGGCTATCAGGGATACCAAAAAGCTCTGGTTTCCCAAGTGGCAGTGGTTTGTTCCTCAGCTGGCCCAAACCCCAGCACTGGGAGGTGGCTTCCACTTGGCTCCAGCACTACCCAAAGCCTTTAGCTCACCTCCTGTGCCCGAACCTAAGACAGGAAGGAGCCCTGGCTCCAGGCTTCACCCCCAGAAGAGGGCTGGCATTCACACAAAGCCATTTTGAGGGGAGGAAAATGAAGATGCAGACACTCTAGGTAGAGGTTTTCAGAACTCAGGGGTTCAGGCTGCCTGATGTAGCAGCGCTGGCTGCCAAAGCAGAATTTCCATCCCTTTGTTTATCCCAGCTGCATTTTTCCATTGCCTACTGCAGGCAGCATCGTTTCCCTTTGGTGTGAAGCAGGAGGGGAGGCTTGCTTTGAAGCCTTTTGCTTGCATAGGAAATGAACTTCTTGATTCCTGTTGACATTTGCAGCGAGGTGTAGGTGGCGCTTGTAGCATTTCTCAAAGCTCCCCGGCTCTGTTTGTTCAGATCCTTCTCACTCCTGTGAAATGTGGTAATACCGAGCAGCGGGTGGAAGGAACAGCACAAATGGAGCCCTTCAGGAGGTGGAAGGACTCAGAACTGCTCTGCACAGAAAGGCAACTCCTTTTCCTCCCAGCCACCAACACCAGACCGCATCCCTGCAGCTTGTCCATGGAGTCACAGCACAACCTAACAACACTCTGCTCTGATCCTGCTGCTATGGAGGTGGTCCATTCCTCATCCCAATGCTTAAAGAAGCATGAACAGCTCTTCTCCTTTCTGGTCTCATTTGTCTCAGTGGGGTTTCACTTTCCAGGATTAAAAACAACCTTTTGCAGCCGGGAAATGGGGGAGAGCTGCCCTGACACCTTCTTGGAATCAGACTGCACAGCACTGATGTGTTCCTTAACAAAGCATTGTAAGAGCCTGGCTCACAAAGCAGCCCAAGAGCTGCAAAAACCAAGTCACCTGAAGTCATTCAGGTTCCTTCCTGCATCTTCACAAGCCTCAAATCACAGCAGCCACTCTCATAAATCCTCTTTTGCCCTGGCAGTGGGAAAGGAGCAGATTTGTGCGGGCTGCATTAGGGGATGAGGGCTCAATCTCATGGGAGTTGTGGAATAATGACACATCTTCTGGATGGGATGGACTTGGGGTCGTGTAGTGTGGGTCCTCAGGTTCTGCAGGGTGAGATGGATATGGGGTCATGCAGTGATGGAGCTCAGGTTGTGTTGAGTGGGGTGGATATGGGAGTCCTGCAGTTTGGTGCTCAGGTTCCACAGGGTGGGGTGGATATGGAGGTCCTGCACAGTGTGTGTGCTCAGCTTCTGCAAGGTGTAGTGTGGGTTCTCAGGTTCTGCAGGGTGAGATGGATATGGGGTCCTGTCATGTGGGTGCTCAGGTTGCATTGGGTGGGGTGGATATGGAGGTCGTGCAGTTTGGTGCTCAGCTTCTGCAGGGTGGGGGATGATGTGAGGTTCTGCAGTTTGGTGCTCAGGTTCTGCAAGGTGGGATGGATATGGGAGTCCTGCACAGTGTGTGTGCTCAGCTTCTGCAGGGTGTAGTGTGGGTCCTCAGGTTCTGGAGGGTGGGATGGATATGGGGTCATGCAGTGATGGAGTTCAGGTTGTATTGGGTGGGATGGATATGGGGTCATGCAGTGATGGAGTTCAGGTTGTATTGGGTGGGATGGATATGGGGTCATGCAGTGATGGAGTTCAGGTTGTATTGGGTGGGATGGATATGGGGTCCTGCAGTTTGGTGCTCAGCTCATTGCCCTGAATGCATGACATAAATTGTTTTCTCCCCGGAAATACCTGCAAGGAGAAAGCACCGCAGCAAAGAGTTGAACGGAAAGCGGTGAGCTGCTGCTTGTGAACGAAGCGCGCGGAGCTCCGCCCCAGCCGTGCATTAAAGGTGATTAACAACAAACCAGGACCTTATCGCAGCCGGATCGTTGGGGCTGATTAGCGACTGATCGCCCATTGAATGAGAAGGAGCGCGCCCGGGTTCTCGGGGGTGATCTGTGAGAATGGCAGAAAGCAATTAGAGAAGGAAAGCTGCGATAGTTATCGGGGATGTGGGGCAGGGTGAAAGCCAGTCCTGCTGAAGCTGGGATGGGAATCCTGCAGGATTGCGTTGGCTAAAGGGGGAACCCCTTCTTTCTTCTGAATGCTCTCCAGGGTTCCATCCCATCTCCAAGCCCTCGTGCATCCCCGGCCATCCATAGGGCTACAGGGATGAATTCTCACTCATTTGAACCACTGGGAAGGCACGTTTTGAGGGCTGTAGGGCAGTTTTCATTCACAAATTGCCCAGATTTGGGCAAGTTGGAGCAAAGGGTGCAACCTGAGGTGGGCTTCACTTCTGCATGCTGACCAGTGTGGTGGTTTTGGGCCAAAAGGTGCTGGTTTTGTGGCAACCAGAACTAAAGAGCCTGAAATCCATGGCCTTTCTGTTGTTTGCAGTTCAGCTGCTGAACCATGAATCCCTACGGCTGTGGGGTTGTGCTTGAGGAAGATGAGGATCCCTCCTCTGAAATGCTGTAAGTACAAATGCGTGTTGGAGGTGGGCTTGTTCCCAGGGTCACTTCTTTGTCAGTTCAGAAGAAAACTCATTTATTTCTGACTTTGAAGCAGAACCCGACCCCAAGCTGCCCAAATCCACCCCACAGATGGAGATGCGAGATGAGGTTCGGCCACCCCTGCTCCCCACAGCCCTGCAGAGGTGAGATGGGACGAAGGAGCCAAGCGATCCGCAGCCCTACAGGGAGGGCAGAGGGGATGTAAGGGACAGGCTGTGCCCTCGGGTCGGCGGCAGGAGGCGCTCCGTGCCTCAGTTTCCCCACCTGCCCCTCAGAGTTCACCGAGTCCCCGGCGGTTCGCGGTGCGCTGCGGGGTGGGGAGAGCCGAGCGGTGCCGGGAGATGGCACCATCCTCCTTTTTGTTCCTGCTTTCTGCCCAGCAGCGCTGCCGGGAGGGGCCGAGCAGCCTGCCAAGCTCCCCTTCCAGCTCGGCTGGGAGTCCGATGGGGTTTGAGGGGCGGCAAAATGAGAACTGTGCGTTGGATTCGGAGGAAGGAGATCTCTGTGCAGTTCAGCAAAGGAAGGGGACGGACTCCAGTGGCTGTCACCCATTTCTGTGCCCCATCCCTGGCTTTTTGTGCACTGTGCTGCAAACCCCTGCACCCTGAGCATGCTCCATTCCTACCCAACATCACTGCCACCTCAGCATCACCTCCATGCACTGTGCTTTGCTACAAACCCCTGGAACCTGAGTGACCCCCCCATTCCTGCCCCAGCACCTCTGCCACCTCAGCATCACCTCCATGCACTGTGCTGCAAACCCCCACCCTGATGGTCCCCAATTCCTGCCCCAGCACATCTGCCACCTCAGCATCACCTCCATGCAGTGTGCTTTGCTGCAAACCCCTGCACCCTGAGCATCCCCAATTCCTCCCCACCATCACTGCCCCCTCAGCACCCTCCATGCACTGTGCAGCAAACCCCCCAAGCAAAGCCACCCCTGGTGACCACCTCGCCGTTCCCAAGCCGCACGTGGCACACATCTCGCAGCCCTCATCCAAATGTGACACCTTTGCTCCAGAACACATCACATATCTCAGAACAGGACGCCGTTTTGGGTGCCCCACAGCACAGCACAGACCTGCAGCACTGGGTGGACGTGGAGTTCATCGGTGTCTCCACGACGCAGCGATTTTTCCGCCGCTCTCCCTCTGGCCGCCAGCCGAGCAGCGTCCATTCCCGTTCAAAGGCAGTTCTTGTTCAGTGCCTGGCTCCTGGAGAGCCCCGAAGAAGGGCTCCTTTCACAGCCTTTTGCATTTCCTAGACAGAAATTGTCATTTTTCAAACACAGCTTCCCTTCTGCTGGCCCGGCGCCTTTCACCTCGCAGCGCCCTGACGTCAGGCTGTCTTTGTGATGCTCTGTGCAGCGTTTTGTGCTCCCGTTCCTTTTCAGCTGCTGTCAATGCCCGTTTCTGCCCAGGGCCAGGCAGTCAACGAGGGGCTGCTGGGGGCGCTGCCAGGCCCCCAAGTGGCCAATCTGTGCCCCCACCCAAGCGGGGCCATTGGCTCAATGGACAGCACTGAGCAACACGGCGAGGTCCTGTTACTGAGCGCCTGGTGATGGGAGATGGGAAAGGAATGTTTCTTTTTAGGATTCCTTTCCCCTGGGATTTCTGTTCTATAGGATTTTGTTTCTCCTTGGGTTTCTTTTCCCTAGAACTTCTTCTCCCTAGGATTTCTCTATGACTTCTCTTCCCTAGGGCTCCTTTTCCCCAAGGACCCCTTTTCTCTTGGATTCCTTTTCCCTTGGACGTCTTTCCTCTATGACACCTCTAGGATTCCCTTTCCATAGTACATCTCTCCCCTAAGATGTCTCTTCTCCTGGGTTTCTTTTCCCCAGGGTTTCTGTATGACGTCTCTTCCCCAGCATTCCTTTTCCCTAAGATAACTTTTCCCTAGCACATCTTTCCTCTATGTGCTCCTCTAGGACTCCCTTTCCATAGGATTCCTTTTCCACAGGACCTCTCTTCCATAGGACTTCCTTCCCCTAGGACTTCTATTCTAATAGGATTTCTTTTCTCCTGGGTTTCTTTTCCCTAGGATTCCTTTGCCCCATGACTTCTCTTCCCCAGGACTCCATTCCGGTGCTGTCCATACTTTTGATGCCACTCAAATTCTGCAGGGCTGCATGCATAGTGGTGCACAGCTCCAGCCCTGCACCTGCTGCTCATCTGGCACCATTCTGCCACGGAGGCAATGCCCAGCAGCCACCACCAGGCGTTGGGGCCAGGCTGTGCCAGCAGCAGGGCGGTTTCTTGGAGCTGCTCTTGTGAAACAAGCCGGGCCGGTGCCGAAGCTGTCACCCAGCAACGTCACCAAGCAGGAAACCATTGCAACCCAACCCCAAAATAGCAGCAATCCCCAGAAAAGCCATTCCCTTCTTCCCGCCTGAGTTCCCCTGCTTGCAGCAGCGCCGGCACTCCCTGGGGCACGTCGTGGTGCACAGTCACAGCCCTGAGTGCACGCATCACGCTGTGCTGGGCTTCTGCAGCCGCAGCAGTCGTGCCCCAGCTCTGCGGAGCTCCATGCACGCACGCAGCCACCAAACGTCGGCTCTCCGTTCCACCAAGGCCGCTCCTCAACGCTCAAAAATTTTCCAGGCTTGGAGCCGGGCCAGCGGTGAATTTTGTTTTGCAACTGAGCAAAATCAGCTCAGTGTTGTCGCTGCCCGGCCCCCACGTGAGCACAGCGCGGGGTTCTGGGCTCTCCCAGCCCCACTGTTTGCATTGCGTTGTGGCTCTATGCTGCTGGGCCGTGTCCCAGTGCTCTGCCTGCCTCTACAGGCTGTGTGCCCTGTGCTGGGGCTAGAGATCCTATAGAGCTTGTGACGGGGCTGTAGGCCCTAAAGATGCAGTAAGAGTTCTTAAAATGGGCCTTGGTCTGCCATGGTGGGGCCTGAGCTGTAGGACAGGCACAACAGCTTCTTGTCCTGGTGTCACCAAGCCACCAACCTCCCAGTGCTACCAACCCATTCTCACAATGCTACCAACCCATCCTCCCATTGTCACCAACCCACCCTCCCAGTGTCATCAACCCACTGTCCCACTGTCACCAACCCATCCTCTCAATGCCACCAACTCATCACCCCAGTGTCCCCAACCCAACTTCCTGGTGTCACCAACCCAGGATTGCAGTGCCACCAACCCATCATCCCATTGTCCCCAACCCAACTTCCTGGTGTCACCAACCCAGCCACCCGATGTCAACAACCCAACCTCCAAGTGCCATCAAACCATCCTCCCAGTGCCACCAACGCATCCCCCCCAATGTCACCAACCCACCCTTGCAGTGCCACCAACTCAATCTCCCAATGTCACCAACCCATTCTCCCTGTGTCACCAACCCAGCACTGCAGTGCTGCCAACCCATCCTCCCAATGTCACCAACCCAACTTCCTGGTATCACCAACCCATCCTCCCAAAGCCATCAACCCATCGTACCATTGTCACCAACCCGTCTTCGCAATGCCACCAATCCATCCTTCCAATGTCACCAACCCATTCTCCCAGTGACACCAACCCAATTTCCTGGTAACACCAACCCAACCTCCCAGCATCACCAGCCCACCCTTGCAGTGCCACCAACCCTCTCCCAATGCCACCAAACCATCCTCCCAATGTCACCAACCCAGCACTGCAGTGCTGCCAACCCATCCTCCTGATGCCACCAACCCATCCTCCTGATGCCACCAACCCAACCGCCCAGTGTCACCAACGCATCCTCCCGATGCCACCTACCCAATCTCCCAGTGCCACCAACCCAACCTCCCAATGTCACCAACCAAAGCCACCCAGGCTTTGTCCAAAGCATCCAGCACAGTCCCACAGCTGCCCTCACCTCTTCCCCTCCCTATCCATAGGTTTTTCCCACCCTCTCTGCGCGTGTTACACCCAAACACAAGGCTGTGGGCTCTAAAGGCACTGACACTCACCGTGCGTCGGCGCAGACCCAAAGCTCTCTCCCTGATGCTTGTCTCGGTGAGGAACGCTCGGCGCTACAAGCCCACGGAGCTCAAGGAGCATCCGATCCCCCGCGGGGTCTCCCATCCCAGAGGAGAACAACTGGACCAGTTCTACCTGTGTGCCAGTTCCTGGGGCAGGTAGGGCCAGTGGAAAGAATTCCTGCCATTCCAGATGGTTGAGTCACAGTGTCCCCACTGCCATCCTTCGCCTTCATCTCCTCCTCCCAAGAGGGGCTGAGTCAGCGCCGTGGGCGCAGCGCTCGCAGCCTCCCCCCCGGGCTGCTGCTCTATGGGACTGCGTTCCCACGTCCCCCCCACCCCCCTCCTCTCCCTCGTGGGTTCGTTGGCACAGAAGTGCCGCACAGGGGAGGGCTGTGGAGAGGGGGGGGGGGGGGGGGTCCTGCTGACTCAGCTCTCTGCACAATGCAGCTGAGGGAGAAACAAAGCGGAACGAGGGCAAATGCATCGAGTTGGGGCATGTGCTGCACGGCTGCGCCTGGCGGGGTGGTGGCCTGGGGACAGAAGGCTCCTGTTTGCTGCAGGTCCTGGTTCCTCTGCTTGCTTTCCCCCAATGGGCACCAAGCTCCTTTTACCCTGGAAGAGGACAAAGGGCACGGGGAGGCCTCCAGAGCCTGCAAGTCTCACTGGAGCAGCATCCCGTCTGTGCTTTGGGAGCTGCTCCGACAACAAACCCCCGCCCCACACCCCTCCTGCCCCGCTCGCAGCTCGTGGGATAACCCCACACAGGTGAATAAAACCACCCAAAACCTCAGGATTTTTAAGGGCACGGCCCAACGTGCAGCACGAGCGCCAGGCAGCGACTCGCCTCAATGCCCCCTATGTCCCAGCAGTGACCGCTGCGGTCACGGGGATCCCAAAACCCTACAGCAGCCAAAGCACCTGGCGTAGGGACCTGCCGCCGGCCCTTCTCTCTCCACGTTTGCACCCACGGAGGGGTTTTGCTGCACCTTCTCCCAGCCCCGCGCCCGCTGGCTGAAAATACACCGATAGAATAGGAGCTCTGAGTGCTCACTGCGCTGTTGACTTTAGGCTGCGAGGTGCCAGCTGTGCTGGTGCAGCCAACAAAGGCCTTTTAGTGGCCGCGAGAAGGGCTGGGTTGGAAGTAGGTGAAAAATCCTATATTTATAGAGCCTTTGTGCAAAGAAGGTCCCCAAACATCATTAGGGGAGCTAAAGAAAATGTCTGGGGAGGAACAAAACCCCAAGAAGTTATTTAGGAAAAAAAAAAAAAAAGGGAAGGAAAAAAAAAAAAAGGACTTGAATGAAATGTACATTCACAGGGGAAAATAGCAGCTATGAAAGAGCCCTTTAAGCCAGCAGAAAAACAGAACCGGTTGCTGCAAGATAAAGCCAGGAAAAAAAAAATGCAAGAAGGCCCCGTTTTTTGCTTTTTTTTGCTTTTTGTTTTTGCAGGAGGAAATATCAGAGGGGCAACATTTGAGATGGGGGAATGACAGAAGGGGTGCACACTGCAGGGTGGGTGCAGGAGGGAAATGGGAGCTGCCATGCAACCAACGCTGCGGTGCTGACCTTGGGCGCAATGTTTAATTTCTCCCAACCCCGTGCAGAAAGAAAATAAACAGGGGGGGACGGTTGCTGGCTGCCTGATTGATTTCTGCCTTCAAAGCGGCAGCCAAAACCAGCCCAGCAGCTACAATTTGGGTTTGTGCGAGGAACGGGGCGAGGGAGGCGGAGGGCGCGAGGAGCGCCGTGTGCCCAATTTTCACGTTCCCCTCCAAAACAAACAGGAGGATGGAGCCTTTTATGCAGGACACAAGCACACAGCCCCCTTGTTGCACGCTGCTTCGGGGCAGGATATCGATGGGCTTTTTTGCTTTTCCTTTTTCCCCGCCACGTCAGAATGTTTTAAGCAGAGATTAAAGGCATCTCTGTGGCGGAGATGGCCCCACGTTGCCAAGCGGTTCCTCCAAAGCCAGCAGCGTTCCCCTCATCTCTCAGGGCTGTGAGTGAGGTCTGGGTGTTCCCAGCTCTGGATATTGGGTACATTTTGTTGTGGGTGATGGCTTCTGGGTGCTCCTGTGGCACCAGCCACGCATGGGGGTCCCCAATGGGTTCCCAAAGGGTTCCGCAAAGAATGTTCCCAAGGATTCCCCGAGGGGTCCCCAAAGAGTCTTCCTAAAGGGTGCCCAAAGAGTGTCCCCAAGGTGTTCCCAAAGATTCCCCACGGGATCCCCAGAGAGCGTCCCCAGAGTGCTCCCAAAGGGTGTTCACACAAAGGTCCCCAAAGAGTGTTCCCAAAGGGTTCTTCAAGGGGCCACAAAAGAATGTTCCCAAGGCGTTCCCAAAGGATCTCCAGAGGATGTTCTCAAGATGCTCCCAAAGGATCCCCAAGGAATGTTCCCAAGGAGTTCCCAAAGGGTCTCCAAGTGACCACAAAGGGCCCCCGAGGTGCCCCATCCACGCTGTGCCATCACTTGGGTTTCTACCCAACCGCTGTCCTCCAGCCTCCCTAACTGCCTGCGAGGCAAAAGGAAAAATAATCTTACCAAAAAATAATAACTAAAAATCCCATCCTCCCAACTCAGTGAAAAACAAGGAATTTTTAGTCGCCCTTTCTCAGGGTTTTTGCCTTGAACGGGGCAGTTGGGTCGAGCAGAGCGCTGCACTCAGTTTGCAGCTTCGCAAGGCAGGATCTGCCCCCCAACCCCACTCAGAGCCAACAGATCCCCATTTCATCTCATCCCCCAGAAGGAGCAGCGGACAAAGAGCAATTTGCGAAGGATGAGAAGCACCTTGCCAGCATCTGGGAGGAACAATTCAAGAATTGTTTTTGTGGTTTTCTAACAGTGGGAAGAGCATGGAAATGTGCATTGCGCGCTGCAGCCGAGGCATTAACAGCCCTGGAGCTGCAGCCCCAGTGCCAGTTTGCTTTGCTTTGTAGGATCGCTCCTTCTCTTTAACGGGGCTCAGGGGCAACCGATGAGAACGAAGGGGGGAGCACAAAAAACAAAGCAATTTCTTCCTTTTAAGCAGCATTCTCCCATCACCCAGCCGGCGTGCGACTCCAAGCCAAGTTTCTTTGCCCTGTGATCCCGCTGCTCTTTTGCAGAGCATCCTCACATATGGAGAAAAGATTGCGCCTCCCTTGTGGTGGCCTGCCCACTGCTTCTCTGGAGAGCATCCCCCTCCATGTTACCCGGCCCCACTGCACTCCTTCCCCGCCTCTGACCCATCACCTGCCCTGATTCACCCCAAATTGCCATAATTCCAGTTTTCGCGGAGGCAGCAGCTGCTTCCACGAGTGATTCACGCCAGGAGTGGGAGGAATATTGCAAAGGAGGAAGCATCTATTTACAAACAAATATCAGGGCTCTCCGCACGCCGGAGGGGAGAAAGGTGAGCGTGAAGGGAACAGCACGGCTGGGCTGGGCTGAAAAAATGGGATTTGGGGAAGTCGGTGAGTGCTGCGCTGAACAGCTCTGACTGTGACTTGGTGTCAGGTATTTGGGATCAGCAGCGTTGGGAACAAGGCTTTCCCAGCCCCTCATTTGTGCGGTGGAGCTGCTTTCAAGTGCTAAGAGCAGATGGTATCGCCTGGGAACGCCTGGAAGTTTCGGCTCTGCTCAAACCACAGGGCTGGGAGCAGCTCCCGGGCTGCCGCGTGGCTGCTGGGTGCTCCTGCGGCGCCGGCCCCACGCGGGGGGTCCCCAAGGTGTGCCCAAAGGGTCCCCAAGGTGTGCCTCAAGGGTGTGCCCAAGGTGTTCTTTAAGGGTGTCCCCAAAGGGTCCCCGAGGTGTTCCAAAAGCGCGTCCTCAAAAGGTGTTCCCAAAGGGTCCCCAAAGGGTGTCCACGGTGTCTCCAAAGCGTGTTCCCAAAGGGGCCCCAAAGGCTGTCCCCAAAACATCTCCAAAGGGTGTCCCCACATGGTTCCCAAGGGGTGTTCCCAAGGGGTTCTCAAATTGTGTTCCCAAAGGGTCTCCAAAGAGCATCCCCAAAGTGTCCCCAAGGAGTGTTCCCAAAGGCTTTCCCCAGAGTGTCTCCAAAGGTTGTCCCCAAAGAGTGTTTCCAAAGGGTCCCCAAGGAATGTTCCCAAAGGCTGTCCCAAAAACATTTCCAAAGGGTGTCCCCAAATGGTTCCCAAGGGGTGTTCCCAAGGTGTTCTTAAAGGGCATCCCCAAAGTGTCCCCACAGGGTGTCCCAAAGGGTTCCCAACGGGTCCCCAAGAGATGTTCCCAAGGTATTATCACAGGGTGCCCAAAGAGCCTCCCCGCTGTGTTCCCAAAGGCTGGTTAAATCCCAAAGTGCCCCCAGAGGGTCCCCAAGGGGTTTTCCCAAAGGGTGTCCCCAAAGCGTCCCCAAATATTGTCCCCAAGGTGTTCTCAAAGGGGTGTTACCAAAGGGGTGTCCCCAAAGCATCCCCAAATATTGTCCCCAAGCTGTTCTCAAAGAGTGCCCCCAAGTGTCCCCAAAGCATCTCCAAAGGGTGTCCCCCAAAAGGTTGCTGCCAAAGGGTGTCCCCTAACGGTCCCCAAAGGGTGTCCCCACGTATGTCCCCCCCCACACCACCAGGCCAGCCCCATCTGCAGGTCACATCACAGCACCTGGGGACAGCGCTCCGAAAGGCCACGTTTGCCACCAGGGGGACTCCAGTGACGGGGTAGGGGGGGGATAGGGGGAGGGAGGCAGAGGTGGGAGTGGGGGCCGCGTTCCCATCTCCCTGCCTTCCCCCTGGTTCCCAGGTGGCCTCGTCCGCGGCCCCACTGATTGAAGGATGACAAAGGCTTGGATCACCGAGGTGAGATTCGCAGCGGGGAGGAAGGGGCGTGGGCCGGCGGCCAGCAGCAGCTGCAGGAATGCACTTTGCGGTCGGTGAAGCAATCCGGCAGCGCGATGGAGCAGATAGGAGCAAGGAGGGAAGGACCGGTTCGAACCTTCAAACCTTCTCCCCCCCCCCCCCCCCCCCCCACCCCCCCAACCACCACCAGCACCACCACCTCCCTTCCCCATTTCCCCACCTCCCACCCCATAACGAAAGGAACGATCCGCCGAGAGAAACGGGACGGCGCGCACCGAACGCTGCCGTCGGGGGGAGCTCGGAACCGGGCACCGCGGGGCCGGGGGCCGCGTAGCTCCGCCCCGGGGCCGGCGGGGAATCCGCGCCCATTTCCGCCGGCGCGGAGCCCGGCCCCTCGGCCGCACTGGGCGCTGCGCACCGCCAACCTCCGCCGCCACCACCGCCGCCACCGCCACCAGAATGCCGGGAGAGGCGGCCGCGCTGGCGCTGGGTACGTGTTGGGGTCGGGAAGGGAGGGAGTGTGAGGAGGGGGTGTGTTGGCTGCTCCCCCCTCTCCCCCCCCTTCCTCCTTT